TCCTACAGCAAACTAATGTATTATATAAAATATAGCATGTAAGCCGTACCGCTAATGGCCTTTAGGTCGAAGCGGGTAATTAAATAAATAAAAAAAAAAAAAAAAAAAAATCTACTTGACTACAATGTTCTAAGTGGTACACCGTTTACGTTGTCCCGCGAAGTTTTTTGGGGTCGATACTTAAGGAAATACCAGAATTTGAATGATGCCTAGCTTAGAAATGAATTCCTATCAATCAATACCAATTCTATATATCTATAAGGATTTCTATTTTTATTCCATTATACTAAAGGTATATCAAATTTCTCCAATTCTTATGGATACTCACTCCAGTAATAAATCCTATGCATTATGCGTACACAACTTGGGGGTGATCAATATCAGGTTGATTTTAATTACAATGGGTGAATTTTTAACCGCCTTTAATACCACGAATATATTCTAAGAAGGTGGATCGATAAGTCCTGGACGTGTCTTATCAACGTCCAAGATCTTGTGTGTAAAAGTCTAGTGACGTGGTTTAGATGTAAATGAGGACTGCAAAGAAATTTGTTTGCTGGGTGTGAAAAAATATGGTATGAGGTCATATTTCTTTATAGGCGCTGTTGTTACTGTTGTTGGGAAATTCTATTGGAGCTCTCTCTTCAATCCACATGGTCTTCCTTTCGTGACTAGCTGAATCGACCTTCTGGGCAAAACTTTAAAAAAAAGTAAAAGCTCGTCATTTTTTCAACGTTCTTTTGTGTTGCTATGCTTAACACTGAGGATGTATCTGCAATTTTCGGAACTATTTTGTTCTTGATATCTAGTGAATCATTGGCATTCCCTATGCTTATGGGTAAAAATCATTCGCACAAAAAATAGTTTTCTTAGAATCCTGCATTTGTGGTATGGTTGTGACAATGCTGCTGAAGATGCTTTTTTAATTAGCATCGTGTACTCGTATATACAACTGTTGTGTCTTAGTAATGTAACAGTACACCTAGTAACGTGTACATACAAGATCTGCAAATTAAGTGATGAGACGGGAGAGGAGACAGGATAACATGTGATCCACCTTCAGTACAAGTTTGAACTCGATCGAGTGTTTTGGTTGTCTGTAGCGAATTTCTTTGTGAAACAGTTTTTTCTATTGTATTTAAAATGACACTGCATCGGATACTCTTGCTAAATATTCTAAAGGCAATAGAGTTTTGTCAAGAGCACTTCATCTTCAAGAACCGATAAAAATATCGACAGAACATTGTGTGTTCATATCGTCGGTTGGCAGAATGATCGGGGGAGGGTTAAGTTTAACTTACACCGTACCGCCGTTCGTCAGTCAACACTTTTACCGGTAGGTTCTTGAAAAACGTCATTTGTGTAAGACCAAACATCTAGAAAAGCTGTGTGTTGCATCGCGATAATGCCCCTTGTCACACAGCAATGTCAATAAACGAGTTTTTGACCAGTAAAAAAATTCCTGTGGCTCCTTATGTTCTTGTAACTCTTCACGAAGTTGAAAAATCACCAAAACAAGCGTTATGGCTATAATCTTGCAACTTACAATGAATTTTAACTTTACATCTCAGCATACGTATGCATATATAATTTTTTCCGACATGAAATCTAGTCAAAAACCATGAAGCCTTACTTTTTGCTAAAGCAGAAACTCTAAGTCGCCAAGTGAGCTTTTCAGCTTTTCAAATAGATAGCTGATCCTCAACAGTAGTACATTTTATGTTGAAAGGTACTACAAAACTACATATATATGTAAAATGAGCGAAACTTGGGAAAACAAAAAACTTGTAGTTCGGTCCTGGAAGAACAACATAAGTAATGTCTTCTCCTATGGCTTCTACAGACGTGCAAGTATTGGAGCATTGTTCCATCAACAAAGACCATTGCATAACAATTTCTTGCACCCTCATGCGGTCTAAATAGAAAATTCTGAACAATAGGTGCAGCTGATTCTAAATAGGTCGAAACTAGGTCAGGCACATTATGGAGCGCAATAAAAGCCTTACCTTAATTAGAGTACATGACAATTACGTTCAAATATGTGAAAAATCGATAGTAACTCTTCCTTATTTGATCAGATATTGTAAAGAAAGTATCTTAGCTAATTTCGCATAATGTTCTTACTCCATGCGTAAACCATCAATAGCGAATCGCTAGTCAATTCATATTAGGTGTGCTATAAATATCGACAGTTGGCGAAGCTGGTTTCTAATACGGCATTACGTATTTCAGCTACGGGCATCGTACTTAAGCGATCCTTCGTTTTTATATAGCCAAAATGCTAGGTGTTAAGTACAATTTTCACTCTCTGTTATTGACCGTCATCGTCGTGCGCAAGTGGAAGTTTTTTGTGATTACAGAAAACTCCGTATGTTCGGGATATCTACAGATCGTACGAGTAGAAATATTTATCAAAGTTGGTCAATAATATCAGGAATCGAGCTAGTAACAACGAAGAATGGAATGGGCACCCGTAGTATGTTCGAGGGTTACGTTGTCCTCTGAAATTTGAATATTCCAGTATGCTTTTGTGTACAGTATTTGCGATTTTGGGGCCCTCTGGCAAAAGTTCACCCCCCGCTCTACAAAACTTTTTGGAGAGTGATACACTTTCACTATATACCTACAAAGGCTTTCTTAGTTGCAATGGATCTAACAATCTGAAAAAGCAGAATTCTGTTTTGAAAAATTTCTTTCTTTAGCCTACGGTATCTCCTAAAAAGATTTATTCCTTTTAAGTAAGAGTACTTTGGATCAAGTACTTAAAAAATATAAGAAACGTCTGAACGGTTCTTGTTGTATTCTTTCTCTATGTTCTCGACATATCTCTCTCTACTTATACTTATCTTTTTCAGACTGCTCTCCGCACGGCAGTTGGCAAGCTTGTTTTATGGACAGAAGGTGTAATTTGTCTTTGTTAAAAATTACCAGAATGTATATTTTTCACAAAAATGTCTGTCTTATGGTTAACTATTACAATTTCTTTATACCGGGTGTTTCAAATTCGACCCTTACCATTGGGATCTCGGAAATGGTAAAAGAAGAATAGCATTTTTACGATCATTTTGAATTAAAATACAGTATCTGCACAACAATAAATTAAAACATAGTAAATGACCCGTACTTACTGTATTCTTGATCCGTGAAGTGGGAGACTACAAAAACATGTGAAAGTACGACGTAACTCGATTTGAGATTATTTGTCATTTACGCCTGTACGTGCGGAGACCGACGACTTAGTCCCACCGAATTCATACCATTTTTAGTTAGTTTTCGTCGGTCATTTAGTATATTTGTAAGGATACTGTAAAACACTATTATAGGTTTCATATACTAAAGATTATATGTATATGCCGGACCCGATGTTGTGTTATTAATTAAGAAAAAAACAGCAGTTCAGACATTTCTGAGGTAACAGTATATGATTTTTTATTTATGGACACGCATACTCGGTAAAATTAATGAATTCATTAGAAAATATTATCAATTTTCACCTGGTCCTACAAACCAGCAGCATTATTTGCCCTTAAAACATTACAATTTGAGAAGGATTACAACACATGCTTCTGTAAAGTGTGAAATTAGCAGATACTATCTTCTGGCTTATAATAATAATAATAATAATAATATGTTTATTTCCATGGGAGTCCACAATAGAGTGTTAGAATTGTCGAAGATCACAAGCTCGTAAAAATGTACAATCACCTTTAAAAACACAACACTAAAGGAAAAATCTAATAAGTATCAAATACTTAAGTAATCAATTAATGAATGAAATGTCCTGACCTTTCTTTTAAAAGGTCTTACCGACTGGATACTCCTTATACATTCTGGTAATTTATTATACACCCTGGATAACATAATCGTGGGTCTTTTTGAGGTCATTGACATTGCTGGGTAGCAGCAGATTCTCTTTGGAGGCTTAAAATTTCCTTCAGCATATACGGCACAGCTATAGACATACAATGAATATAGTCATTGTTCTTAATTTTTTGAATAGCTCAACAAAGGATGCACGTCTGTATTCAAATAAAATGGTTCTAATAATTTTCTTTTAAAGAACAAATACCTCCTTCACTCTACAGCTGCTGCCCCAACATATGATTCCATAGTGAAGAGCAGAGTGTACATACGCAAAATAATAATATGTTCTTAACAATGTTACATCAACGAAATCGCGAAGCTGCCATAATACATAGCAGTGCTTAGATAGCTTGCTAATATGCTCCTACCATGATAAATTCTCATCTCAACAAATACCCAGAAACTTGACAGGAGTTGTCTGTTTTATGCTTTGACCATTACATCTTACTAAAATACTCTGATCGTTTTCATGCGTAATAAATATGACCATATTCGTTTTGCTGCTATTAAATTTTAGTATGGCGATGCATTATCATATAATTTTAAAAAAGCTGAAAGTAGCGATATACCTCGGTAATTAGAAATTAAATTTCTGTCACCCTTTTTGTGGACGGGCATAACCGTAACACTCTTTGAGGCGGATGGAAATGAACCTTCCTCGAATGACGCATTGACTGAATGCGTTAAAAGTGAGACGATTGCGTCAGCAACGTTCTGCAGGAGCAAGCACGGAATGTTATTTTCTCCACTAGAATGCTTGACAGACATTTTCTTTATAAATGACAGTATGTCGTTTTCTGTTACAGGTGTTAAAAATAGAGAGTTTGTTGGAGATCGTGATGTATCGGAATTAAAATGACATTATTCGCTTTTAGTCAAATCATTAACTGATTGAACAAAAAAATCATTAACTGATTTTGCCAAATCTGATTTAGGAATCGTATGGCTTACCATGTTTCGCTGTGGATGTAACTTTGTGTTTCCGTTAGTGGTACGGTGTCTTATAATAACTTATGATGTTTTTGATAAGTTATTAAAACTTGAGAGTTTATTGTTATAATAAATTCGTTTCTTCTTCCTTCACAATATGTGCAGTTTTTTCTTGAGCAGTATAGACGTACTTTCTCTCATTCCAGATCCATCCTGACCAGCCCAGTGACACCAGTCCGCATCTTCCAGCCTTCACCAAGCCACCATCGCCATCCAGACACCCCCGCACCATCCCGTCTACCCCCGCACCCCCTCTCCACTTCAGGCTCCAGCGAGTCTTCCTCAGGGTACGGCACCCCACCCCCGAATCACAACCGCTCCCAACAGGCCTTCGTCAGGCTCGACGGAGATGGCGGAAACGAGGATAAAAATAACAATGGTGATGGACGGAGTGCGGAAGGAGAGGCAGGGGCGGATACCTGCAGCGAAACTTCCACGAAGCGCAGTGACGCCACCGTGGTCAGTTTCGCGGATGGTGAGCTGGGAGTTGGGCAGGTAAGTCTAGTGGTACAGCGGGTGAGACTCGGAGTTTTTTTTATATTGATATTTATCGAATTGTATTGTATGAGCCCCTTCCCACTTCAGTTGGCCCAACTATTGAAATCTTAGTTTTTTTCTTATCAAACACAAATAATAAAAATGTAGCAGGGTGTTATAGGTTTAAAATATTAACAATGAATATTTTGATAACATACAGTAGAAAACACCAACTTTATCACTCCCTAATCAAATTTGCAGCATAAAAATAAGACATGTTGCAATTACAGCAAATCAACCTATTTTCATTTCAATGCAAAATAAGTATGTAAGGCATAGGTGGCTGTGAAAAATAAAATCCATGACAATTGTTTTTATTAATCACAGCTGTCAGAATACGTATAAAATAGTTTTGGGTAGTTAGGTTTTCAAAATGGGTAGAGGAAACGTTATTAGTGAGAAAATTCGGTTACTGATAATTAATTTTTTTAATTCTGGGAAATCAAACTCAGAGATTGCAACTTTGTTAGACTTATCGCGGTACAGTGTGAGAAATATTGTTAGAAGATATAACGTAACTGGTTCAGTTAATATTAAGCCACGATATGTGAAAAAAAAGTAATATCACAAATGCCGACCGAAGAGCATTAAGAAGAATAATCGTGAAAACCAGGCGTGCCAATTATTTACTATTAAGTGCTCTGTGGGGAGACGCTGTTGGAAGGAGAATTTCGAGGTCCTCAACTCATAGTTATAAAAAAAGTGAAGTACGTTAAAAACCCTAAAGTTGCACAACTTGTTTATATGCTAAAGAAAAGCCACTATTAACTCCACTGCAAAAGAAAAATTGGCTTAGATGGGCTAAAGAACATAGACAATAGACACTTCAACAATGGTGTGCAATACAATGGAGTGATGAGGCCCGATTCGAAGTTTGTGTTGGTGATAGTCGCAGTAGAGTTATTCGCAAAAAAATGAAGCATTCCACGTTGACTGTCTGAAGAGAAAAGTGAAATTTCCGGCATCCATTATGGTTGGGGGCAGTATGTCATCAAAAGGAGTAGGAAAACTTCATTTTATTGATGGAAATGTGGATACAAGCAAATATTTGGCAATTTTAGAAGAATCGCTTTTACCAGTCATGGAAGAATGTTTGACATCCGGCCAAGATTTTGTGTTTCAGCAAGATGGTGCAGCGTGCCATACCTCAAAAAAGGGTATAAAATGGATGGAAGAAAATAATGTACCACTTTTGAAATGGGTTTCTAGCAGTCCAGATCTGTCACCTATTGAAACTTTGTGGCACGAGAAGAAAAAGGTTCTACGACAACATCCTGCTCATACAATCACCGAACTGAGACAAAAGCTTCAAGAAATATGGGATTGTTTTACACCAAATTTTTGCCAAAACTTGGTTAACACTACGCCCCAAAGAATTTCACCCGTAATAGAAAATAAAGGTGATGTTACCCAATGGTAATCTTTCAATTGTTGCTTTGTTAACTTCGCGCATTTATTCGCACATAGTTTATTTGTTCAGATGTTCTGTTAGTTACAGGTCTTATTTTATAAAGGGATACTTTGGTACAAATCTTGAAGTGGGCCAACTGAAGTGGGAAGGGGCTCGTATATGATGAAGGGCAATGGGGCGCAAACCTGTTTTCCATGTTTAAACTAAAATATGGAATGAAACCCGATAAATTGGTTTGTGTTATAAGGTGGGTGGACCATGGTAGGCCAAAGTAATAACTTTTTATTATTATATTATTACTATTATTAATCATTCTTTTATTTGCTGGACAATTAAAACACACAAATTATTTAGTAAATGTTTGTTCTATTATGTAAATTATAAAACTCTTTCATTTATTGCACAGTTAACCTTTACTTATCGCATTTAAGTTTTACCTTACCTTTATCTTGCAAGGAACAAGAGTCCGTACAAGACCGATTCAAGTTATAAATTCTACATTTATTAAAAATACGATTCGACGATTTTAAACGCCATCTTCGGGTACATGTGAGTTTCTAGAGTAGTTGGTAAAAGCAGTTACAATTCTGCCAGATAGATTTTGGAAGTTTTTGCTGGAAAGTTACAAGACCGATATAACAAATCTGCCGTTTAATTTAAAACTAACTAAGGTTAAACTACATCAAAATTCTCTTTCATTTCATTTCAAGTTCTCACAATAATATATTATCATAAAAATAGTCAACGTATGTTTTAAAAATGACCATCATTCATGCTGATTTGGACATGGATGGATCAGAATCGAGAACGAGTGGAAGCATCGCGTACAATCCATACCCGATTTCAAAAAGTACTTTCTGAACAGTATTGTGACTATGGACGAAACTTGGGCACATTTCTATGACCCTATGTTAAGATAAAACAACAGTCGATGAAATGGAAGCACTCAGTGTTGCGAAGGCCAAAGGAATTTCGTGTGCAAAAGTCTGCTGGAAAAGTGCTTGCCTCAATGTTTTGGGTCCGTCGAGGTGACACTTTCACTAATTATCTAGACAAGGTAAAAGGTTACAATTTTTTTTATATTATATATATATCTATCATCGTTGCAAAAATTGTGTTGAGTTTATTTATTTATTTTCAGTTGAAACTTTTCACTTTTTCTGCAGTAAGCTAAGAATATATCAATATCCCTTCATATAATTGTGTTAAAAATAATAAGACACATTTTTGAACTTGATTTATTTGTCTTTCTCTTAATTTTGACTTGCCACGCTAATTGGCGAGGAAGTTTTGTAATCACGAAAATTCCTAAAACGAAATATTGTGTTTTCTGGATGTTGCATGACATGTGTACCCCGAAAGACCGTGACAGTCAGTTTCGTCAGCTTATCTGTTTATCGGTTAGTATGTTTGCTATTCCTTGACTCCTCTATACCTTGGAAAATACCGGCAGATTTTTGATGGAATTTGGACACTAATGCCAAGGACAAAAATGTATTGCAGACTTTCAAAATCGATCCCGTGACAGTGGATCTATGGGCATTGCTTCAAGAATATCCAATATACGATTACATGAATTATGACAAAATTGTTACATGGTAGAGCTGTTATGAAGGGCTGCCTACGATTCTAAAAAGATGGAAAAGTGATATTTAGTCGCATTTGGAATTATAAAAAACATGTTTCTCCTCCATTTTTTCCTGGATAGTTCAGTCTCTAGTAGGAGTCTCGTGCTCACATACCTGATCGTTTTCAAGTTCCGCAGCAACATTTTAACATTGTTCTTATTATCCAACATAAATGATTCCCATTTAAATAGTCGAAACAAGTCAACGCTATGATATTTAATGTAACAAGATTTAGTAGTAATTTACATGATAAGCTTCTAAAAATAATTTTGCGAGATGTTAACGAAATCGGTAATCGATATGCTAACGAGGAATAAAGGTTAATCTGTCAGGAACTGTAGAAGAATGATTAAAATACCATTTACCTTATCGGCCCTAAATTCCATTTTGCAGTTACTTCTTGCTCTATGGAACGCACTATTTTGGGGTACAAAACTCTAACTGGATTTTAAAATTAATTTCCGTCACACAATAATGATCCTCTATGGCAATTTCGATAGAGCGATCAGTCAGATTCAGGCGTTAAAATTACCATAGCTGGTCATACGTACGACGCTGATGTGATATCGAAATTAATAGTTTATATCTGATCATGAGTGCTTCAAGACCAGCGTATATATTTTAAATACCATAAAATTTGACCTTTGATAAAAGACATATTGATTTAGTAGTATTTTAGTTAGCTACTATCTTCTAGATGGTAAGTAATACTGCAAAATGGAAGCTTCACAGCCTAACCTACCCTATTTGCGCCATCAGTTTATTGGCTTTTCGCGTGATGAAAGTTTTGCTAGCAGTAAAAGGTGGGTAGGCATTAGAAGGAAATTGCTCATTATGTTGCAGTGAACTTTGTAATAATATTTAATATCGTTCTTTATTAGCGAGTAAGTTCAAAGTATAACCTTGAACAAGCAGCCCATGTCGTAATCAACAGTTTCTATTTTGTTTTACAATATGTCATTCACGACACTGCTTTGTCCTTAGTCTGCCATAAGTTCATTACAGTAGTCATGAACAAAAGCAAATATTCCAATCTGATTCACACAGAGCCTTATTAAATTATATTCCTATCTTCTAGGGCCGTATAGATAGTCGTTCCTACAATTGTAGGACGCCTTTATGGCCTCCTTGATTTTCTAGTTTTCTACTGTTCCATGTCAGAGCTCTATTTTGAGGTTATGTTACAAATACCTACTTCCATCAGATTGATCATGGTTTTGATTTATATCACTTGTTATATCAGCCTGAACTTTCCCACAATTCAACAAGAAAACATAGCAGGAGAGCGCTGACGCTGAAACAGAACAGTAGAAATCTAGAAATGCCCCAGCCTTTCTGAAGGAGAGAAAATACTATGAAAATCAAGGAGGCTATAAAGGCGTCCTAAAATTCTAGGAACGAATGACGATATGGCCCTAACTGCTGGGCATAGGCCCTCGAAAGGAATATGCCATATGTAAAATGCAATCGAACATAGTTGGAGTGTAACTTTAAAGCTTTCATTTTCCTCTTTGTAAATTTTTACAGCAACTGACAGAAACGTTTCTATTTCACAAAAGCAATTGTTCATGGCTGTTTCAATTTTTAGATTTACAGGGTGTTTATGACCAGATCGACTTAACACTGCTGAGAAAAAAATTGGAAATATACGGGCTCCCTCCTCATTTGTGCTACATCATAACTAACTTATATCACAATAGAGCAGTTTTTGTAAGAGATAATACAAACAAAAAATTAGGACCAGGTTATAGTTTTGCTGGCCTGCCGCAAGGTGCAGTCCTCAGTCCTATCATTTACAATATATACACTGCAGACCTACATACAGTTAATCCAAGTTCCAAAATTATGCAATACGCTGACGACATCTGCATCTATATAGAAAACCGTGCCTTATAATTCTGTACAGATATTCTGGATAGTGCCATGCATCAATACAACCAGTGGTTCAACCAGAATGGCTTTACGCTATCATGCGAGAAATCTAAGCTATGTTTCTTCACTCGCCATAATACCCAAATATCAGACGCTGTACACCTGGGAGGACATACATTCACGGTGTATAATACAGTTAAGTACCTGTGCGCTACTTTAGATAAAAAACTAAATTGGAGGAGCTTCATACAGAACATCATCGTCAGGTGCACGAAAGGCCTCAATTTCTTCCGGATGATGCTGAAAGTATTGTGGGGAGCTGACCAAACAATTGCATTGATGTTTTACCGATCATATATTAGGTCAATACTAGACTACGGAAGCATATTTTATGGCTCTGCTAGTAATACCTTATTGCGTAGGCTGGACGTGGTTCAAAATACCTTTCTAAGAATATGCTTAGGCGTTATGAAAACTTCCCCCATATAACCGATGAGAGTTGAGGCTCTTGAACCACCGCTACATCATCGAAGACAAATGCTTGCAGAGAGATTCCTGGTGAAACAAACGATTACCGACTCTCAAACACTGGTAAAGTTACGCCACCTCAACGCCGAAGGTCTGACCAACAAATATTGGATGAAAAAAAACTCCCCCCCCCCACTATGCAGTGCTTTCAGACAGATTCAAATAACAGCACCCAAACATCCTGATCTGATCTCTGTCCGAGAAGAAAGGTACTTCACACTAAAGTCCAACACCAGAATCATAATACCAGAATACAGTGACATCCCATTGTTGAATATCCGCATTTTCAACCAGGTGTACCTGCATTCCGCGTGGGGTACCCAGATCTTTACAGACGCATCCAAGAATCAGAACGGAACCAGATGTGCATATTATATACCCAGTACTGACACAGTTGGCACCTTTAAACTTCCCGATCAAGTATCTATTTTTTCAGCCGAAGCAGTGGCTATTATCCAAGCTCTGAAACATGCAAGCAGTAGTCACTTGAAAGAATTTACAATTTTTTCCGATAGTCTCTCCGTTCTCTCCTCCTTACAAAATTATGATTGCACAAGGACCAGCAATTGTCACATAAATCAAATAAAACATATGATCTGCCACTTGAAAGAAAGTGGAAGCAAGGTTGCATTTGTATGGGTCAAGGCACACTGTGGAATCGTATTCAACGAAAAAGTTGACCAACTCGCAAAATCAAGCATCTACACAGGATCTGTATTACAGACACAAATTTCCAAACAAGATTATAATATTTTATCCAAACAAATCCTATTTAAAAGCTGGACGTTAGAATGGAAGGAATTCTGCTTTACGAACCCAACGAGGTATACTTTAATACATCCTGATATCCCAACAACGTACTGGCACAAAAATTTTAGAATTCTTCGTAAATACATATCTATGATTATTAGAGTAAAACTTGGGCATGGAGCTTATCCAACACATTTAGCTAGATTCCGTATTATTGATTCCAACTTATGTGAACACTGCAACATTGAGGGGAACTTGGATCATGTATTTTTTGGCTGTTTGAAGTTATCTCCATACCTTAATCTGATTGGCTTAGGCCTTATTTCACCATTTAATGTTCTCCACATTCTAGCTTTGAATAGACTTGATGTTACGTGTCTGATAATTGACTTTTTGAAAACCTCTGGGTTAAAATTTTAGTTTTGTTTAGCTAGATATCCTCTGTGTAACTATCCTCTGTAATTTACCTACCTAACCGTGGCCTAATTGTTGTGTGTCATATTCTGAAAATGCCTTAATGGCTCCTTAGGCGAGAAGAGTGTATCCCTGTCCAATTCCATTCTTACTTAGTTAGAGAAGTTTAAATTGTAAAAAAGGATCTGGTTAATGGGACATAGTCCTAGTGCCATAAAAAAAAATGGCTGTTTCAACTTTTCCAAGATACAGTATGTCGCAACAACGAACTTACACGTAGTCGGCAAAATAAGAATTTATTTGGATTTCGACAGCTCTACTTCAACACTTTTAGGCTAATGTCGTGACTGTTACTACAGAGGGTTATGCAAATTGTTATATTTTTTCTCACAACCTGGCACAACAAATCATGTCACTGATCTAATAAGAAACACCAATAGAGAGATAGATTGAAAAATAAATGTTTACTCTTTAAGGAAAGTTACAGCACAGAAAAATTTGGTCAAAGACTGAGGAACGGAAATTTGCAACTTTCTCGTATGACTTTAAGCAGACACGTATACAAAATACAGGAGTAGAGCCATAACTGTGTGGCAACATTAACATTACATTTTATGAACAAAATCTCTTTTTCGCGAAAAGTTTGCTACCTATCTTGCAGACTTCTTACTTACAAGCTGTCAAAGTTGAGTTTTTTTCGAAAACCTTCAAAAGTAGTATGGTACATCAAACTTTTGTCTTTCATAACGTATTAAAATGTGTATACATGGTATTCCATTTGGAAAAATGCATGTTCGTGTTGTCACATAGTTCCGAATTACCATGTAGATAGCGCCATAATTTTCGAGTAAGGAGCGTATATCTGCATATAGTTTTTGTTTTTTAGATTAGTTTTTCATAATAACACAGCGAACGATAGACCACACACTAATACTTCTGTTTTCCAGCGGACCTTAACGCCAAGTTCAGCTGAACTAAGTGATGTGACTGAAGAAGCTCAATATTCAAATGAAGCTGGAAGAGATCAAAACGACAATCTCCAGGACCGCCAGGAGAGCGTTGGAAGTTATAGCACGGAGAGTTTCAAGCAATTTCCGTTCGGAAGTAGAATACCGCAGATTACCGACGGGACCAGAAGTAAAAGCAAGTCGGTAGTTGATCTCCATCAGAGCTTTCTTCCAGATATTGGTGTTAGGAAGAATACCAATTCTGCTCCTCTTCTGAAAGACCTAGCTATAAGGTAAATTTCCGTTGTTTGCAATAAATGTAACTAAAGCACTCCATGCTATAAAATCGTTGGTAAGTTCCTCTGACGGTAACAATAAGCCGACAATACACCTTTGATATATGTGATAAAATAGGTTGTCAGTGTGTTCAAAATACATAAAATGTTGTAAGGCTTTTGTTTTTGATGTATTGCTTTTGAGGGTATAACCAAACAAGAGAGAAAATGAATTGGTGGGTCATCGACAACACTGCTCAATAAATATTTACTTCATAAAAATTTCTCAAAATATTATATTTGATGTATTTTGGTCTGCTGACTCTAAAAATCATTTCAGTGCTCGTGTAGTACCTCTAGATTGTGAGACTTCTCAAATTACCCGAATTTGGAGTGACGGCGCACTCAGTTTCAAATACAAAATAAGCTTTCTCACAATTAAAATAATGAGAACGAATAGGTATACCTTCACCAAGCTTCGTGAAGGAATCATGAGGTTCGTCAAATGGCACTTCAACTACTTTGGAGTGACTATTTGCAATCCATAGAAGCCATGGATGACAAACATGGTATGCCAAAATCATCATGGTGATTGTTATCATTGTGTAATGAACATATCTGTTATAAACAAATCCGGAGTAGTGGTCATATTCGACGCTGTTTTCTACTGAACGACTTCTCACGCATTCTGAGTGGTCACCGACGTTTTCACATGTTTTGAGTCTAAGAACAGGGAAACTGAAGGACACAAATATGAATATGACTCTGATTTCCGGGATTAAGCAACGAAAAGTTAAGAGTTTTTTATATTCACAAATTAGAACACGACACACGTTTTGTCGAATCTATGAAACAACTTGGAAATGTTTCGTTTTGGTGAAGTTGTCCTGGGAGTCTTATTAGAAATTTATTTACATTAGTCGATATATTGCCTAAATTGAGATACATACGGAGTAACATGAGCATCAAGCTACTTTTCGGGAATTATGATGAAGAGAGGGATGAAAGCTTCCATCTAGCTATTCGCATCACGCAAGAAGCTTACTAAGGAAGGTGGGACCGTCAAATCTTTATTGACCGCTTAGACTCTATTCAGCAGTCTATTTAGCATAACTTCCAAACAAAGAGAATCGGATATACCCCGCGATTGACTCTCCTCCTCATAGTGAGTTGATGGCGAAACATAACATGTGTAGTTTAGAAAGCAGACGCAAAAAAAATTCAGTTCAGTCAAGCTTATTCATGGCATTATAGACTTCAGTCTCAGGTTAGAACAACCCAACTTCTTTGTTCCGAAATAGTCACGAAATAGTGCAACCCTTTACTTAGCCAGGCCTAGGACTGGCACACCGACATAATAATGGATAAATAAATATGATGGCTGGTTGCTGTTGGAACTTCATAGGAATCTAAATAGTCACCTCATTGAAAAAAAACTCCCAAAAGCCATTTTTTCTCAACCCCAGCAACTGTTTGAAATAATGGCTGCTAAAATCGCTCTAACCTGCATGTAAATTTAAAACTAGAGCTGCTAAAAGAAACAGTGTTATTTTCGTAACCAACACACTTAGTTTAACCGAAAACAAATGGAAACATTCTGCAAAATCTTTCAGTGTTGACCATTGTAATATTCAGATGCTATTCTAACCTTAATTGGGAGTATATAGCTCCTTTTAGACTACAGGAGGGTGCTGTGAGTGGTGTTTAAGTTAACTGTCGTCTTTCTCTGTGCAGCAGTAACAAAGAAAGTGAATTAGGAGTACACGAATACGACTCCAAAAGTCCATCTTCCTCCTCAATCAAACTGGTCACCGAAGAAATGGAGCCTCCAGCACTGCATTTACTGGATGTGAATGGATCTCACTCGGAAGCTACCAGTGGACGGAAGCTGACAAGGAGATTGACGCGAAGTCAAAGCAGAAGATCGATTAAGTCAACTCCAAGAAGTATACAGGTGGGCAAATATCCCATATTTACTGTTGTTTAGATTCCTATTGAATGTGGTAACGGAAACAGTTGTTTGTTGTAATATTATTATTATTATGTAGCTATTGATATGAAAAACGACGAGTATGTTTTAAAGGCATGTGACAATAACTTTGTAATGTTAAGCTTCATTTACCCTACACCTTTATAAATTGATAGTTGACATTTTTTACCAAATAAGTAATACAAAAAAACTCGCATATCATACAAAGCATGAAAACTAGAAAATTGAAACAAACCATAAACAACTATGGGTTCAAGCAAAAAATTGAAGAGAGTACCAGAATAACATCATTATCAGAGACTTTGTTAGATCTTGTTATTGTAAATTTCGAATGTGCAGGGATTAAAGCTGTACATACACCTAAAGTTAGCGATCACAGTTGGACAATGCTGCCCTTGGTAGGGCATTTTTCTGATACAAAAATTAAAAAAATCGTAAATACTATTAAGTACGAAAAACTTGAACGAGAACTTGCTGGCTGCTATTGGAATTTTGGTGAGAATATGGAAAAAATATATGACAACATAGGAAATATAAAAACTTGTTTAGATCTTGCAACTGATAAAAAAGTGATTTGCTCGACAAAAAATACACCCTGGTATAACAAGAATATTAAGGCAGCTCAAAACTTGAGAGACAAACAATACAATAAATGTATATTCACAAAATCAAATGATGATTGGGAGGTACATAAAACTCTTAGGAATAAATGTGTATATGTAATTAGAGAAGAAAAAAGAAAATTCTACGATAAAAAAATCGATAATAACAAGTGCGACAGTGTAAAGATGTGGAAGACTTTAAAAAGACTGATCAATTCGTAGCCGCATGATTGTGTAAATCAAGTCCAATTCGAAAACGGTACCGAAACAAATTCTTTGGTGATTGCAAACAAACTAAATGAATATTTTGTGGAAAGTATTGTTGATATTGTAGGTACTGCCAATGCTGCACCTGACTATATGAAAATCAGTTTCCAGGGGCAAATGTTGCATACACTTTCAAAATTTCACAGCGTATCATTGAATTATCTAAGAAAAAAAATAAACAGTTTAAAATCAAATAACAACTGTGCCGAAATGACTACTAAAAACGTGCTGAAAAACTGTTTCGAAATTTTGGGATATCCTGTATTAAATTGGATCAATTGTTCACTGAGAAGCAGTTCTATCCCTGAAAATTTGAAATGCTTTACAATAACACCAGTTCCCAAAATAAAAAATTCTAAAAGATGCAGCGATATGAGACCAGTAAATGTGTTACCAGACATTGAAAAATTATTAGAGTCCATAGTGCATGACCAATTAATGCATTTTATAGAAGGAAACAAAATTTTAGTAGAGGCGCAAGCAGGCTTTCGAAAAAAATATTCCACAGAAACAGCTTTCCAGTTGGTAACTGAGAATTGGAGAAGAGCCATAGACTCAGAAGAAGTTGTCATAGCAGTATTTTTGGATTTGAACAGGGCATTTGAAACGATTGATAGAGATATTTTGTTAGGTAAATTGAAGGCATATGGTATAACAGGAAGTGTTTTAGATTGGTTTAGAAATTATTTGTCTAAAAGGATGCAAGTTACAAAAGTTAATGACACTATTTCATCAAAAATTGAAAATACGGTGGGTGTTCAACAGTGCAGTATCCTGGGACTACTTCTTTTTATTTTATACATAAATGATTTACCTGCCATAGTCAAAAAATGCAAAATTCAAATTTTCGCCGATGACACTATGACTTATATAAGTACTAAAAATATTCAGTCTGGTATCTCTTATATAAATGAAGACTTGAAGCTTGTCTCAAAATGGTTAGCATCTAAGAGACTAAAATTAAATGCAAGTAAAACGTAGGCCTTGTTAATCGGAAAAAAACAATGTACACATGTTCAGCTGAATATTGATGGTGAACATATTGAATTCGTAGAAAATTTTAAATATCTGGGGGTTTTTGTTGACTCTCGATTAATTTTTGATATTCATTATGAAAAAGTTATAAATAAGATTAGTAGTAAAGTGGGATATTTATCTAGAGTTTCTGGATGTCTGAGTTCATATAGCAGAAAAATTATCTATAATACCATCATTCTTTCAAATTTCTTGTACTGTTCGACTATTCTATATTTAGCAAATAATTCCATTTTTGAAAGACTGCAAATTTTACAAAATAAGTGCATGAGAATAATACTGAATAAAGATAAATATACTCCAATTAGGCAAATGCTTAGCAAATTAAAATGGCTCAATGTAAAAAATTTTATCAAATATCTTGTAATGATATTCATTTATAAAGTAAAAAATAATATATTTCCATCAAGTCTAACTAATTTAACATCATCAAATGTCGACCATCATTTACATAATACCAGAAATAAAGATGACTTCCATTTAATGACCAAAAAGTATAACATATGCCACAAATCTGTATTCCATCAAGGGTTGATTATATAAATTATACTCGGAGATAAAAGACCAGAAAACTTTGACAAAATTTAAAGTAAAATTGAGAAATCACTTGTTAAATCTACAATTATAGGTTGCCCAGCATTTACATCATACACCATATGGCTTGAATTTACTAGTTCTAAGTTGTTTACAATTGTTCTGTTTATGTAGCCAAATGTGCTAAATAAATCTTTCTACTACCACTACTATACTTGGTGATATATACATGTCACCACATGCGTAGGAGTCAAAATTGTCTATCATCAACTAATAATTTATTCTGAAGCAAGGATAAACAATACACAAATTTAGAACAAATACCTTATCGACAAAAATTAGTAATGTACAATTTTGTCCTGCTCACTGTTTTCTTCCGCCCTACCATCTGATTCCAAAAGACATAAACTTAGCTATTCTAAAAGGACTCTATTTCCTTTTACTAGTTTTCCCGTTATCCTTTTTATGGACTGTAAGTGGATTTTGAAAGGATAGTGGACAGTTGATTCAGGAGACTGCGAAGGTTCCGCTTTGCGTGACTAACACCAAAATTATTTTATTCGATGAACTTTCAAACAAAAGTCATGTTTCAACATAGAAACACAGCACGGCTTAACTGTTCTACTGATTGAAGTTAGGGAACAGTTTCCATCGTTTAGAGTCAGATTGATAGGTCTTCGTTGAGGCGTCAGGCTTCCTTGGAAACAGTGGGTATTGGATATCTCATTGCAAACACTGAGGCAATGATATTTGAGTGTTCATCAAGAGAGGATTTAGGTTTTCAATCCATAGTAACCGGTAACAGTTGCCATCACGAGCTGTCATCAATGTCACAAACATTTTTATTTGCTGGTCGTATCTATTTATCATTTTGATGTAAACGTTGGGACGATTTGATTTATTTGTGAGATACTGTAGTAGTTGAATCTGACAGAGGTAATCTACAATCTGCAACCAGCAGAGCAGTTCGGTGCAACTGGTTACCTATATTCATTTTTTTACTTCTTTGTGATTCTGCTGTAATTCGAGGAAGCAATACATAATATTATTTTGCACTGTTTATTGATGTTTATCACAAATAAAATAAATCGTACTGATTTTATCATCAAAACGCTAAATAGGTACGGCCAGCAAAGAAAAATCCTTCTGACATTCTGTCATGATACTGTGAAATGAAAATTTAAATCCCCCTTTGAACGTTCCTCAACGAAGCGTCATAGTTTCACTGTCTCCAATGAGATATATGATATCTATTGTTCCCAAGGAGTCTCAGGCCTGAAGGAAGGTCTATGGATCTGGCTCTTATGTCTCTTACTCTTACATAGTCCATATAAGACTCGACCTAAATTGCTGCACATGTGTTTGAGACTCCTATTTTTTTTCCTTTTTAGGAATCAGCACCAACATCATCAAGATCCACAGCAAAACCCAAAGAACTACTCCAACAATGTTTAGCTCAACTTAATAACCCCGAGTGGGAGGTAATGCTTCAAGGCTTGAAAAATCTCAGTAAGCTGGCTAGGAATCACCCCGATATTGTGGAGGTTCAGATACACACCATATGTGCTAATCTAGCTAGGCATATAAAGAACCTCAGGTCTCAGGTTGCAAGAGCTGCTTGTCATACAGCTTCAGAATTGTTTGAAACCTGTAAGAGAAGTTTGGAAATGGTGAGTAACTGAGAATCACTAGTCAAACCTTAACTTAGATAATGACTCCACTGCCTGGTCGAATCAAAACCCACAGGGCTCTGTATTGTGGCCGCTGCTTTTCCTCATATATACGTCTTACTTATGTGCACTATTTTGTTCCATTATTTCAATCCAGATATTGTTAAGCACGCCCAGATCTTACAAAACGATGTTAGTAAATTAATTAAGTACTATTCAAGTCATAACTTATTAATCCTCAAAATCTGAGATATTATCTTGCGCCCAAAGGAAAAAAGACAATGTGACACAATCCTTGAACAGATAAATGACCAAGTCTTGGAATTTTCTGATTCTGCAAAAATTCCTGGTATTTTTTATAGCAAACATGTATTTACTAAGCTTTAAGTTACGTAAAAATCTGTGTGTCATATCTATACTAAATTATTTTAATATCGTATACTACAGATGTTTAGACAACTTCACCAAAAGCATTATTTAAGTTATTTAAACAAATTGTATACATTTCGTCTTTGCTTAAGGTAAATTTGATCATGCATAAACGAAATATCTCGTTCTAAACTGGTTAAAAATTAATGACTTAATCAAGTATCACTATCCAGGTTTTTTTCACAATTACCTCTCACGTCAAAACCCTCTTACTTGGGGGAAAAAATTTCATTTAGTAATGATGTTTACTGTAAAACTCTCAGAGAAAATAATATTAGAGTACTCCAGAAAAGGTCTACACTTTTCAAACGCAGTTTTTCCTACAATGTAGCTATTACCTATAATGACCTTCCTGAAGTACAGAAAGAATTTTCGTTAGCTGTCTTTCGACAAAAAGTTAAAACAATATTACTCAACCCCCAAACATATAATTTAGGTAATCAATTATTTCGTGTTTCATCTTATTTTATTCAAGTTAATAACTTTTGGTGTAGTTATGTTTGGAATGCATCACTTTTCCTTCATCATATTCCTATGTAGAGTTTTACTACAATAGCCTCAACGGTCTTGTAAGATGCTGAGATTGCCACAAAGCAGGACCACCCGCTTCCAAAAAGACATTCAGACCTTCAAAGCGACAAGCGGGGATGATATTTGTCATTTTTTCAGTATCAGACACGTCCCGAAACTATTCGGCTTTGTCCTTTCCTCTAAAAAAAAAAAATAAAAAATATAGTCAACTTTCGCAATCCGAAATTTACGGTACTACAAATATTCTCACCAGGTTCAAAACTTTTCAGCTTGTTTTGCACCAAGTTACTTTTGTTGCGCGTTAGCTGATGTGCGAGATGCCCAAACGGGTACAAAGCTTACCAATTTTTTAAAGATCGCATTTCAATGTTTCTGATAACTGACTGTGTGTGATTCAACTGCTTTTCATTATTGTTTCTCCCGAATCTTCTACATTCTTCCTGGTTATGACTTCGTCTGGGCGGTCTGAACTTGATTCGTCTCCTAAATCAAATAATCTAGTAATAAAAATTTCAAATTTGAAGTTCGCGCGCTTGTGTTTGCAGGATGACATGGTCACTGACATTTGATTATTGACAGTCGTCAGGGAAAGAAGATGAAAGTAAGTTCCGGTCATGTTTATTCGCTTATGGTGGCGTGTGTTTAATCGTCTACTAAAGTGTCTTTATTCCTTACATTATTAAAATACAGTGCCCACTGACCCGACTACAATAAATAAAACAAAATTCCATCGCTCGATGACCCACAATAATGGCCTTTAGCCAAATCATGGTTCGGATGTAAATGGAAAAACTCCATTGCCCTGGGTATTCGCTTTGCCCGCGTTTACCTGATTTTAATACGGATAACTTTGATTACGCTTATGATTCAATTTTTCAGGAATTAGAAGAAATTGCCGGTCCACTGCTTCATCGCACAGCAGATACAAACAAGTTTCTCCGTGCAGATGCTAATGCTGCCTTGGACGTAATGTGTGACCACATGCCAACAAGTCGGGTCATCTCTGTGGTCACAGCGAAAGGATGCCAGCACCAAAACGCGATTGTAAGATCTGCAGCTATGAGGCTAATTGATGATATCGTGAGGCGTGTAGGTGCAGACAGGTATAGACTTTTTTTATACCTGTATACAGAGCTGGTTCTTTACACGTTGATTAGCCTTCTGGTAGATTTCTTATTTGTGACTTCCCATACAGGGTTAAACGTGTCTGGTTCTTATCAGACCTGGAATATTGTTAGAAGTAACGGGGTATTTTAAAAAGTATGTTGAGAATCTTTTAATGCACCGTTTACTGAGGAATGGCGTTATTCATGAGATTCCTTTAACCGGCACGGGTATTACGTATCTAGAAAAGTGTCCACTTTTTTGACATTATATAGTTTTTTTGTGACATTATGTTGGTTTTTCTACAAAATTTTAACTTAGCACTAGCTGATGGACACTTGTTGTTAACTCGTTTTGTTGTACGTGTTGACTAAACGTCATGATGCCTTAGTTATCAATGTCTGGCTCTGATGTGATGTAAAATCTGCTTCAGAGATTACTGGAAGTCTAAGCTGTAAGTTGTATTCTAAAGCTAGAAGGAAACGGCAATGCATAGGTCCATAGTGAGGATTTGTGTGCTAATAATATGTGTTGATGATAATTCCATTCGGGTCTTGACTCAAATACACTTACTTGAGATTCAATGCTAGAAATTAGTTGCACATCCACTTTTACAATCTTGGAATTATATGCAGGGTGTTTCAGTTTATTGTTGCATAACTTTAAGATTCGATAGAACTTTTAAACTTAATGCATAAACGAAATACAGGGTGTTTAAATTTACTTTCTAAAATAGTTTTTTTTAAATATTTTGACCAATATTTGATGCATAACAGTGAAATTAGGTATACAAGGGTTTTTTGGTACGACAAAACGAACCATGGGCATAGTTTTACTGTAACCTCTACAGGGCGCTCTCTACTGTACCTGTAGTGTATTAAAATGACCGAAAAATTTTTCTTAGTGCAATTTTTTGCTTTTTGAATAAAAAAACTGATTCTTCGCACTTTTCAACATAAAAAAGCTCTCCTGTGAGTTTTCGTTATAGTTAGCCGTTTTTGAGATATTTCGATTTTTAAGGTTCGATGCATTTTTAATTATTTATGGGAAAATAATATTTTTTTTACATTTTCGATTTGGGCATTACAAGTAATTAAGATGATCGTTTGGATTGAGTTTTTAAACACAGCAATAATTCTTAACTCCAAATAAACACAAAAAAACATTTTAAAATATTATTTTTAACAAATTAAATTAATTATTTACAACTAAAATGCTATTGGATAGTTAGGACAAACATACAAAATCTAAAGTAGTTGCTCGAAATGTAAACCCAATTGTTCAATACACAATTCACATCTATGAATGATCGAACGTGGTATAGCATTATTCAAATAAGGCCTCATTTCATCACATGCATTCCTGATTCTGTCTATTAGCATATCTCTTGTGGTTACGGGAGTCTGGTACACTTTTTCTTTTAGAAATCCCCACACAAAGCAATCTAATGGATTTAGGTCAGGGGATCGTGGAGGCCACGCGCCTGGTCCTCCACGGCCGATCCATCTTTCTGGATAGTTTTCGCCCAGCCAGTTTCTAACTATTCTCGAATAATGAGCTGGACAACCATGAAGCTGGAACCAGGCCAATCTTCTTAAATCTAACATAACATCATCCCACATATTTGCATGTTCAGCCTTTAAAAATTCCAAGAAGGTCGCAGCATTTAAGCTTACAGGCAGAAGGTAGGGTCCAAATAGTCGATTACGGTAGATACCAATCCACACGTTCACACTAAATTCATGCTGAAAATTTCTTTCCCGAACTGCATGCGGATTTTCATGCGACCAAATATGTTGATTATGAAAATTTACCACTTCACGTCTAGTGAAGCATGACTCATCGGTCCATAAAACGTTACTTAAAAACTCCCTATTATTATCAGTTCTATCAAGAATCCACTGACATAATGTAATTCTTCGTTCTCCGTCCCCTGGCTGTAGTCCTTGCACAGGTTGCAAATGGTAAGGACGTGTATGGTCATTTCTAAGAACAGGGTGAACATGGCTTGCTGAAATTCCCAAGGCACCAGAAACTCTCCTAACCTTGTGGTCGGATCTCTATCAAACTCACGCAGAATCATACGGGTAAATCTGCGCTGACGAACATTTATGTTTTGATCCCTTTGGAGATTTCTGGCTGCTTCTGCTGCGTTTCCATTTACAAACCCATACACAAAATGAATATCCGCTAACTCTTGATTGGAGAATAAAAATGGCATTTTTATAAGACTTACAAAAAAAACAGGTAAAAGAAACTAAATTTCCTGCATTCACAATTGCAAAAAAACATTTCAGGTTTCAATAGATAACAAAACTAACTGTCAACTAATTGACGTTTAACCTTATTCAAAAATATTTGCATGCTCAGCCTGCTTCTAAAAATTATCGAGAAACTGACTTTTTAACGTTATTTTATCATAAATAATTAAAAATGCATCGAACCTTAAAAATCGAAATATCTCAAAAACGGCTAACTATAACCAAAATTCACAAGAGAGCTTTTTTATGTTGAAAAGTGCGAAGAATCAGTTTTTTATTCAAAAAGCAAAAAATTGCACCAAGTAAAAATTGTCGGTCATTTTAATACACAACAGGTACAGTAGAGAGCGCCCTCTAGCGGCTACAGTAAAACTATGCCCATGGTTCGTTTTGTCGTACCAAAAAACCCTTGTATACCAATTTTCAGTGTTATACATCAGATATTGTTCGAAATATTTAAAAAAAACTATTTTAGAAAGTATATTTAAACACCCTGTATTTCGGAAGCCACGCATTTTTCGACCCATGTTTATATAGACTTTATGCATTAATTTTAAAATTTCTATCGAATCTTAAAGTTATGCAACAATAAGCTGAAACACACTGTACACAAAATTTGCTGAACCTCAAAAATGAGAGAGATAAGAAATAATTATGCCCACTGTACACTGTTGAATTACAACTTATAATTCTTGTAATTTCCAAGTCATATATATGCTAAAAATAGTTACACGCAACTCTAGCGCGGTGATTTCCCGTAATTCTCAAACGTTTTGGAAACAAAAAAGAAAACGTAAAAAATCGTGTAATTTATAACTTTGACCATAACTTGTTGTTAGAAAGGACAACATGTAAATGACCCGTCGGGCATAGCTAATAGACATACTTCATTGGCAGCATATTCGCTAATGATTTTCTCACACAGCAAATATCACTGACTTTATACACGTGCAGACCAATCCACATAATCTTCCAGATGCGATCTTGCTATTCAACCAACTTTCTTCTCAGACAAGAAAACTACACACTACTCGGATTCACAAAACGTATGCAACCGACAAGTTGAGTCATTCCTCCAAAGATGGACGCTCACAACGATCGTAGTGAGCAAACGTGGAATGACTGTTTGAACCCTAAGAACTACCTAGTCTACAAGATGACATTTTATAGTTGTTTTTTAATGTTTTATAGGATTTTTACATAATACCCGTGCCCTGCTATATGGGTAATTCCATGAAGGTTAGAAAACTATTGCACACATATTGAAAGAGATGATTATGGAACTTTACCTTCCTTACCGCCGGTGTAATGCCTAATTTGGTGTATCCAATTGAAGTATTATTTAAAGAAATTTTTATGATGATTTTGCAATTCGTTTTGTAAACCACGCGTGTATTGTATAAAATCAAATTTTCTATATAAAACAAAAAGGAAATGTTAGCTTATAACTGATGATGGTGGTATATCTTGATCTACGCATTGCTCTGTATTTTCAGTCATTTGTCTTGCTCTATAATTTCTCGAGTAAATTGAGCAGATATTATGTGCTTTTCTACATTCACGCAGATATCGTTTATGCAGTTTCTTTGTCCTTTTCCTTTTTTCTTGAGATAGTTTAATCTATTTTACTTTCTATTCTGCTAATAAATGTAGATCATTTTCAATTTTCGCATGACGAAGCTTTGCCTGGTCATTTTTTTTTTGCTTTTTCTTCCTTTGACATTGGATATATCTTACCTCAACGTATTCAAATCCCATCTACACATTGTCAAAACAAACAGCTTCTTTCGCTTCCGGCTGGCCACTAGGAGCCCGCGAATTTAATCATGCTTATTAATTTTGTCAAGACGCAGATTGTATAGTTAATGACACCACTACTGATATATTATGCGAGTAAAACAAGTGCAAAAAAATAGAAAACATGTCTTTTTCCAAACAAGATTTTTTTTCAAATGTTGCAGCAACCTGCTGTTTTCGAAGCAAGCAGCTGCAACTACAAGCAGTCACTTGAAATTATGTACCAAATAAAAAGTGAGCATTATTCTTCAATTTCATTTTAATGTTTTCGGTGCTGTTTTATCGCAAAGTAACTGTGTTTCTTCAAAAGAAGTTGTTTCTGAAAAGGAAATTTCACGACATCCTGTATATATTCAAGCATATATAAGTTAAGGATTTGTAACTACATCCATAGAGTTTGTGCATGTAAATTACCTTCATCATCTCTAACTATAATTTCAGTCCCAAGTCAAGTATACAAATACTTTAAGATGTCTTGTTTCCTACGGTCAAATGGACAAACTCAAATCAATGACTAAAAGAGACTGCCGATTTGCTTTGGACTAGTTCTTTCGAAGAGAGTAAGGCACAAATATTTTGCTTCTGTTAACATTGAAAGCCGTTTCGCAAAATTGTGCCGATGATTGGGATAACTACATGAGAAGCCATATCCAACATTATCCATCTCTCAATCCTTTGGGTTGAGTTGACAGACTGACATTACGAAACTGACAGGATACATTTTTAAATGACATTATTATCTACCTAGGTATTTTTTGTTCCCATTATCTACTTGAGGAGAGGTGCTACTTGACAATAAGACATTGCAGTCCTTCCAGCTAAATAAATACTTGTCTGAAATTTAATTCCTGATCAACAATCTGGATCCAGAGAAGGTACAGCACAACAACCACACGATTTTCTGTAGCTAATGATATCTTAACCGCTGCAGACAGTGGTAATGCTAGTGTCCTGTTACTTCCCGACCTTTCTAAAACGTTTGATAAAATTAATCATGACCTTTTAATATCAAAGCTAAAATATTTAGGAATATGTGAGTCAAGTTTGAATTTCTTTCGATCGTATATCACTGGTAGATCCCAGAGAGTGATTTTAGGAAGTGATTGCTCTGGACTAAGAGATCATCACCTCAAGGGTCTGTTCTAGGGCCTCTGCCCTTCACCATATATACGTCAGACATAATTAAAGTAGTTAAGAACTGTAATGTTATGACATACGCTGACACTACACACACACACACACACATATATATATATATATAAATACATATACAGGGTGTCCGCAAAGTTGGGGTTTTCCTTTACACGACGTGTAGATCTTGAAAACATAAGCAATTTTTCCTAGTACCATATACACCAATGTCTTAAGGGAACCGAGATAAAGGGCTCTGCAACATCAAAAATATCTGAGTACCGTCCTGTAGCCGCGACCCGCGATATCTCAGACTGGTACCGGCTACTAGCTGAACCCGACGACAGAACTGGGTCGGGGGTCGGGGTCAGTGTGTCAGGTCAGTATGCAACCTTCAACCGACGGTAAAGGGTCACGCGTATAGAGGTAACGAACCTGTATAACCGATTGCGTTTCAAAAAAAAAAATAATAATAATGGCACACTCATACACCAATAATGAACTCGTTGATATGTTGTTAATTTATGGCGAATGTCTTCAAAATGATACAGAATCGTCGCGAATGTATGCAGATCGTTTCCCTAGACGACATCATCCAAGGCCACGCAGATTTGTGTACCTGGTCCAGAGAGTCAGGGATACGGGCCATTTGGAGGAATTTCGAGGTGGGCACAGTGGGAGGCCTAGACAACCACGAATGGTGCAAGTTGAGGAAGAACTACTGAATCGCGTAGACGGGAATCCCTCAACAAGCACTAGAGACGTGGCTAGAGACGTGCAAGTATCAAAAACTAAAGTGTGGCAAACGTCCAACGTGTACAAGCCCTTCAACCTGACGATTTTCCAGCAAGAGTGCGGTTTTGTGAGTGGTTGTTGCATCAACATGACAATAATCCGGACTTTTTGAAGTGCATATTGGTGACAGACGAATCTACGTTCACGCGTAATGGGGTGAATAACTTTCGATTTCAGGCAGAGACGTACTTAGCCCTTCTCGTCAACTGGAGAGTGAGTATTTTTGACTTTATTTTTTTTACTTGGTCGCCCTCGTTTCACTACACATTACCTTTGTTATTTCAAGGGTAGTTGTTTCTGAAAAGGAAAACCCCAACTTTGCGGACACCCTGTATATACATATATGTGCTTAATATGAAATTTAAATGTATTCATATAATTTTAATATTAATTTTTTTTCTGATATTTGGGTCAAGTGGAAGAATAGCTTCATGAGCTAAACTTCGCCCTTTTATAATGTGATGTCATTACAAATAAAGATGATTATTATTATTATTAATTCCTTCGATTAGTAGTGAAGAGAGAATATGTTCTGAGATTCTTATATTTTCAGGGTGTTTCAGCTCCCAAAAGAAGTAAGAGATCGCCTGCTGGTATCTGGTGCTAATTCACTTACAGATGGTAGCTTGGAGACACGAAATTTCGGAAAGAGCATGATATCTCAACTGATCACACATCATCATTTCCAGAAGAGCCTTGTAGATGCAGTTCCCCAAAGTACGTTGAGGCATATCGCAAAGACATTGAGTGCAATAAAGAGTAGCTGTACGTGAAATATGTAATACTTGAATTAGATGTAGTTATTAGTTTTGCATAAAAGTGATACGGACAAAGTTATCAATAGATAAGTTGAATATATCTTCTCTATTAGGAAAGGGTACGTTTGGGTGAAGCCTGATATGAAATTGAACTGAAAGGTCGATTGCACAACGAAATTTCACAGTAGACAAAAAATAACTGCAATAAACGGTGCATTTATTTTATAGTAATTTGGTAATGGTACGCTCGTATTGAACGAAAAGTACATCTCGTACACATTTTGAAAATCTGGTGAACGCGCATATCATTATATGGATTTAAAATAGTGGTGAAAGTACAGTTGTATTCATAAAAAAAGCGTACACGAATTAGAATGAGAGGAAACCTTAACCTTATTTGCGTAAAACCGGCTTATCGCATGTTAAAGGTTATTTAAAATGCAAAGCATGGGCGTCGGGCATTAGTTCAATACAGTAACAAAAATGTATTTCTTTATTTTACATCTTAACAGTTTTATAAAAATTACAATAGAAACAAAAAACGATTAACAAGAATAAATAAAATCTAATATTTGGTCATATATCCCTGTTTTTCTATTACTTGAGCCAGTCTATTCGGAATTGACTGAATTATATTTGATACAATATTTGGATCAAGCTCTTCCCAGCACGCATGTATTATTTCCCATAAATCTTCTGAATCTTGTGGCCTAAAATTTCGATTATATATTTTTTTTACTATTATACCCCAAATATTTTCGATTGGATTGATATCGGGACTATAAGCGACCCAAGGCAGCACTTCCACATTATGGGTTTGAAACCAGTGGGTTACAGCATTGGCCGTATGAACTGGACAATTATCTTGTTGAAATATGAACGTATTATTGGGATATATTTGCTCAGCACTTGGTAACAATATGTTTTCTAAAATGTTAATGTAATTTCCGGCATTAAATCTTCCCTCTATTCGCCAGCAAACAACAGGTCCATGAACACTTATCCAGCCCCATACATTTACAGAGAAACGCCCAGGTCTAGAATTGAGGGGGTTAGTATATCGCTCTTCAAACCTGGTATTGTTTGGACGGTAAACACGAATTTGGCCGTTATAAGTCGACTGGAACGTCTTTTCATCAGTAAAAATGACCCTGTTCCAAAATTGAGGATTGCGGTATATATAATTTAAAGCAAAAATAATCCTTGATTGTCGCCGTTCTTCGTTAAGAAACATTTTTTTCGCAGCAGGGTGACATTTTAGTTCAGATTTCATTACTCTCCTGCTGGCGGTAGGTTGGGAGGCAGGAAATGCTGTATCAATAACAGCATCCCTTACAGTTGCAAATGGATTATTTCTTAAATATCCCAAAAAAGCAGCATCCTGTTCAGGGTTGGTAAGTTTGGGACGACCTGAACCAATTTTCCTCTTTAGGGAATCTTCCTGTTCCCAGCGTTGCTTAATTTTCAATATGGTTTTTTTATTTCTATTATACAACTGCGCTACAACACGGATTGACCATCCTTCTTCGATTCTTGATACAATTTGAGCCTTTTCAACTTCAGACAACTGACGAGGCATTTTTATTTTCTTCTGTCAAAGTTTATCAAACGTTACCACCACGCATTTTCGAAATGAATTACACCGACGTCAATGCTTTGCATTTTTGACAATTTACGACGTGTGATAAGCTCCAATAAACAATCATTTAGACAAGCCGGTTTTACGCAAATAAGGTTAAGGTTTCCTCTCATTCTAATTCGTGTACGCTTTTTTTATGAATATAACTGTATATATAGGTTGTAGGAGCGAGCGCTTCGATTGGATTGAAATGAATACATATTTCCAGAAAAGTATTTCGGGAAAAGCTGAAGCTCTGTCATCCAAAACTTTAACTAAACAAGATGTTGAGCCGTTGCTAAAATATCAGTTGAAATTACTTTTGTAACTAGGAATGTAACGAGTATTAATGTTTAGGAATTCGCGAATGCGAATACGAATATTTACTCCCGATATTCGCGAATATGAATGCGAATAGTAGTAGTATTTAGCTTGACTTTTGTATGCACCACATCAAATCATGCTCGAAGGAGGGAAGACTGTGATGCTTTTACTTGTGAATTTGGATATTCCTCCACTTCAGCTTGATCATTGAATTGTTGTTCAAAAAACAAGAAAAAAAATATTAAAAAACTCTTGATTACATTTTCCATCAATTTTTAGTAGGATTCGGAAGGAATATTTTCAATCGGTTTCGTAATATTGTTCTTCAGCTGCTTTACAGTATTTGGTTTGTTGACATAAGCCCTATTTTTCAAAAATCCCCATAAAAAAGTCAGGAGCCGTAAAATCCGGTGACCTTAGTGGCCAGTTGACATCACCAAATTAAGAAGTTAAACGTCCCGGAAATATTGTTCGCAAAATATACATTGTTTCGCTAGCTGTGTGACGAGTTGCTCCGTCCTGCTGGAACCAAATGTTTTGCTGGTTAAATTTTTGGATTTGAGGAGTCAAAAAGTTTTACACCATATCACGGTAGCGCTTGCTAGTGACAGTAAGATTATTATTACCTGCAGCGTCTTCAAAGAGGTAAGGTCCAGTGACACGTCCATACCAAACACCGCACCAAACCGTGACTCGACGAGGATGTAGTTCCATAATTAAGCTGCATTCGTTTACAGGCAATCTTACTTCAGTTTGTGTGGTTTAGCACAAGGTTTACTCAAGGCTCTATATAAACACATCTGAGTGAGATCTGTCATCACTTGCGGCATTCAAATTTATTTTGTTTTCGTGCAAAATACACCGAATCCCAATTGTGTGATTTTTAATTTGGCGTGCAGTAATATTTTTGAGACGATTTATGTCAGCGACAAATTGCTACCATGAGTAGCTCCATAGTAAATTGAAAAACTTCTGATTTCTTAGGTTAGGTTCAGATCAAGGTTAGTTCAGCTGTTCTTTTTGACTCTAATAGCCTCATCATTCTTTAGGCCGTCTCACTAATAAAACGAACGAAATTTTTGTTTTCTAATGAGAAATATCTGATTGTTTAAAAGACAAAGAAAAATATGTGAAGAATACAGATTTTTCTGTCTCTACTATAATACGCTCTTTTAGCAAAAGAATAAACTGATATCTATTGTTTTATTCGCAAAATGTTTACGTAAATTTCGCGATTATTCGTTACATCACTAGCAGTACCACCGTCTTGTAATAGATATTAGCTGGGAGATGGTTGCAATAAATAGGAGTATGCATTTTGCAATTAACATAGGAATATACTTTCTGTCAACCAACAGATGTTTGTACATATTTCAATTACCTGCTTAATAAATTAATTTATCCATGCTTATACCAACAATATTTGTAGCAATGTTTTATTCATAATTTGCTTCTGATGTAGCTGTAATGATACATAGCTGTTACAATTGATAATTCATGTTTTGTTATTGTATTTTGATAATTCAATACCGGTTTGAGCTTCGTGTCTCATATGGCATATTTTTATTGTTATACAAATTTAAATACATGTGTTTTCATAAAATAATAGCCTTTTATTTCAATATCTACATATAAGCAGACAGAGAGAGGGTGTTAAGACAGGTATTGTCTTTTTTACGAGTCTCCATTACGGTAGAATAACATTTGAGTATCTAGAATTTCAAAATTCCCCATATCGACAAATGACACATAATTCTGACGGATCCGTCAACGCCAGGTAGACAGAGCTATATTTTGTTTTGTTTTTTGTACGCTGCAGATTCATTTCGTACTTGCTAACAACTTTTTCATTTAGAAAAGTTCATGTGGATACAAAAAAAAACGCTACAAGCAAGTCTTAATAGATTTGCAGCCGATTCATTTATGCCAGCGTTACAGACTAATACAAAGATGTCTCTTACTGATCAGCTATTCACCTCAGTAGTCGTTAAAACGTGATGGCAACTCGTGAAATAGAGTTAAATACCGGGACTCCTACTTTTTTATGCGTTAGAGAAATAGTTCTTGAATTTTTTTACAATATTTAACCCCCTGATCGGAAAAAAGTGAACAAATTCCTATCCCGCCTTCCATGCTTACGTGAACATTGGTACGTATATTTTTCAATCTACTTTGGTTTCTTTATTGATTCATGAGCAGCAGTTATCAAGTCTAGAAATAACGAACAAGCTTAGGGAAGAGGAATTTAAGGCTCATAACATTTAGTCAAGCAAATGATTGACACTGTAATTCAATTATTATAATCCTAATACAGGGTGTTTGGAAGGTCGATACAAGGTCTTGGGGAGGGGATAGGGCAGACCATTTAGCGCCTTTTAAGCCAAACATACAGTAGAAAGTCTTACGGTTTTCGAGATATTCGAATGTTCAAATTTAAATCATAAATTAGTAAACGTAACAAAACAATCTACTGAAACATGCTCTATTGGTGTTCAACCATTGTTTCTGATACGTGCTCGAGCTCTACGTGTTACTTCGGTAGTTGTATTTAATAACCTGTCTTGCTGCATTCAATAAGAAGCTTCTCGAATTTTTTTTGTTAAATGGTCTCTTGATATGATTTGCTCACTGCAAACTAACTGTTAAGCCCGCCCCCAGATATAGAAATCCAATGGTGTCAACTCCGGGGATCTAGCAGGCTAAATATTGTCTTAGGTCTAAACGGAAATGAGCTGGACATCAGTCGTGTTGGAAAACAACTTGCATCTCATATTCGAAAAATCGAAAATTCCGTATAACTCGAAAACCGTAAGACTTTGAACTAAGGTATTTTTTGCATAAAAAATTCTAAATGGTCTGCCCTCACCTCCCCAAGACTTTGTATCGACCTTCCAAACACCCTGTATATTAATAACTAACACGTTTATTTGTTTTGCTCTCCCAAAATCTTGGTAGGTACATAAAGTCAAATAATACTTTCGAACATAGACAGGCAGGGTCGCCATATGTGCTTAAATCAAAATCGATTTAATTTTGAAGAGATTCCGAAAAAGTAAAAAATAAGCATTGTTGACGTAATCACCATCCAGACGCTCCGTCCCTAATGTCATCAAGGATAAGCAAAGCAATGATTTCCCAACCACTTCCTCGCCCCTCTTTGGTGTTTACATAATGTTTAAATTGTCGTTCGATGAATGCTAAGCCCGCCGCCCTACGCCCCACGCCAATGGATCCGTTAGGTAGGGCATCTGCTGAGGGGTGCCAGAACTCATTTAAGGTCTATACAAAGTCTACTGCTTACCGCTGTATTGAGGGATACTCGGACAGATAATGTATCCCTTGAAGGGTCCTTTTAGTTTCATAGTTGTCAACATAGATGGCGAACCGGTTAAGGCCGCAAGCCGCCCAGATCTACAGGTTCGTATTGGAACCCTTCCGCTCCTAATCTAAGAAACTTATATAGTGAAGCGAAAACAGGAGATAACCATAATAGGATATTATCATTTGGAAACTTCCCACCACGGATTTATCGGAAACCACTGATTAAAGGAAAAGACGTCAAAAGAATTGCCAAGCGGGACAACTTTTTAACCAAAAACTACTTCAACCCCTTCCACCCTCGGCCCCCCAGGGTAATTCCCTTAAAAGTTTTAAAGTAACAGCTTGTTTGAAAGGTCTTTCGAAGTCATTTATTTTGACGTTTGATTTTTTTAGAACAGTCGATTCGTTTTCGAGAAAGCTATA